CACGTGGCCGGTGGTGACACCCCCCGTGTGCAGCCCCGCAGCACCCACCGCCCTCCATCCCCCCTCGCCCTGCTCAGGGGGTCCTGGGGTTCCCCCCCACGCCCTGTGTGTCTCCCCCAGGTGCGCACCCGTGCCGAGCATTCCCAGCCACGGCAGCACCTGGAGATCCCCCCAGGGAGGGTGGGAATCCAGACTGGGCCGCCTCCACCTGCTGTTTGCCGTTGGTTTGGGCAACTTCAGTTTGGGGCATGATCCAGAACCAAGCACCCCCACCCAAAGGCACAGACACCGAGCAGATCACAGTGCCCCCATCCCGATTTGCTCCCTACTCCTCCCTTCCTCAAACCCCTTGGTATCTGCTCCCTCCCGGTGCCCCTCCTGTGCCTGCCCCTGCCTGGCCACCGTGCTCATGCCAGCACCACAGTCCCTCTCCAGCAAAGATCTCTGAGGAGACCTGGGCTTGGGAGACTTGTGGGGTGTGTGAAGCAGTGTCAGCAGGGGCAGTGACTCCTGGCACCCTGGAGCAGGGATGGGTGCTCACACCACACCTGGAAGGGCCCCAAGCCCTGGGACCAGGCAGCATTGCAGCTTGTTTGCCCACAGGGCTTGGACAAACCTGAAAAACAGCGGGAAACTGCACAAGGGAGAAGGCAGCTTTGGCTGTTTCCGTTAAGAAGGGCTTGGTTTTGGGACAGTATGGAAAGCCATCACTGCCTTTGCAGGGAAAGCCAGCAGCTCAGGATGCACTGGGGCTCAGGCTTGCACTTTGACCCATGGGGGTAAACCCTGCTCCCCATGGAGTCCCCACCACTGCTCCTCCTTGCCCTCTTGCCCCAAGCTCTGTATTTTTGAGGGTGAGGCTAAAGGTGTCCCCAGTGCCTGGCCATGTTAAAGACAGGGAGGGCATTAAGGAGCCCATAGTGAGATCTCTTCTCCTTGCAAACGTACTCAGGACATTTTCCAATCCACAAGTAAACACACAGACCCGCTGAGGAGATGGAGATGGGGCACCCTCCATCCCAGAGCCATCCCTGTCCCCCAGCCCCAAGACACAGCCCTGGGCACCGCAGCCACAGCCAGAAAATCCTCCTCCCTTACCCCCATGGGGCAGCAGTGACAGACACCAAGCACTTCAGGGCACACTTGGCTTTAGCCCCGGGGAGAACCAGAGGACTCATGCAGAAACAGGGTTAGAAAAGAAAAGGAAACAAAGAGCATAAAATGATCTGCAAGACTCCAATTCACTCTCAGGGGTGCAGGGGGCACCTCTGCCGTGTACAGCACCGAGAATCATACAGAGCTGCATAGAGATCTTTCTATGTATATATTTATAGGTATGTATATATTTATAGTGCACAGCATTTAAAAGAGCCGGGCCTGCTTCTTCAGCTCGTTCCTCTTCCAGAGGGCCAGGCGGTCAAACTCGGCGATGGTCATACCAAAGATCTGGTAGAATTCCTCTTGGGAGAGGTGGCGCTGGGGAGAGAAGGCATGTTGGGCCAGGGATGGGGACCATGGCCACCACCCAGGGCCAACAGTCACCACATGGGCCATATAGCTGTAGAGGAGCAGGAGGGCACACAAGGGGCATCATCCCCTGCCCAGGTGGGTGCAATGCGGGGCTGAACTCCCCAGCAAGGTTCACTCTGGAGAGAGGGAACAGTTCTGCCCAGCCAGTAGAGCAGCAGGACCACCACGACAGTGTGCTGGCATATGTGTGCTCCTGGGGAGCAGTAGAGATGCTCCTCACATGTCCACAAGCCCCTGGCAGTCCCACACTGTCTGTGAGGGTTAAGGAGGGAGGGTCCCTCTGAGCCCTGAGAAGATTGTCCCCAGTGGAAAAGGCTCTCCTCACCTCTAACCGAGTCCTGTCCACATCTTTGGGCAGCTGGTTCCTCCCCCTCGTCTTCACCAGAAGCAGCTCATAGGGGTATATCTGCACAGGGACAGGAAGACCATGGGGTGGCTCCAGGACTAGCAGAGGACAGTTTGGGGCAGACCTGGGAATGAGGTTGTGGAGGCTACCAGGGCAAAGCCTCCTCCTGCTGTGTTTAGCAGGGCTTGGGTGGCACAGCTGCCTCCAGGTCTTGGATGGGGCAAGGCAGAGGGGTGACTTGCTCTCAGGGTGACCCTAATCCACCTTGAATCACCTTGATGGTTCTGGAATACCCTGCTCACTCTGCAAAACCAGGAGTGACCCAGGGATGGGTGTGAGTAGCGAACCACCAGCACAACCACACTCCTCTGTCCCTTGCCCAGAAGACCTTCTGCTTGGCCAAGAGCCTGGGACCCTGGCAGGAGGGTGAGGACTCTGGTCCAAGACCCACTGTCCCAGGGTAGGGCTGACAGGTGGAGATGGAGGGAGATGAAGGTAGAACATTGTGGGCAGAAGGCAAAGCTTCCTTCTGAAGGGCCCAGGGACACATGGACACATTCTGGGTCTCCCTCTGTGGGGCAGTTGCACTTCTGGCTGACAGCTGCTCCTTGGAGTGGGAGCATCTTACCTTGTACTCTGTGGGGAGAGAGAGAAGACAAGAGAAACATGAGCCACACTGACCACTCTGCTGCCAGGATCCTCTCCCCAGGATTGCAGGGAACTCCACCCATCTCCCCCCTTCTCCCTGCAGCCTGGACCCCATTTTCCAGAGCTGCCTGTGGAGGTGGAGTAACCAGCCCCATGGCTCCATGCCTAGAGTCCCCTGCCCATGCTGCTCCCAGCCCCAAGGTGCCTCACCTCGCATCCCCCAGTTGACGGCATTCGTGCTGTCATAGTGGAAAAGCTCGGCACTGGGAGGCTGCGGGAGGGAGACAGGGAGGGAGCAGTAAGAGGGTGTCCCTTCCAGATGCTCAGCAAAGTAGCTTCCATGTCCCCAGAGGGAAAAGCACCCCCCCCACTCCAAAGCAGGACCCACTCTCCACACCTGGCAGTGGGGAAACTGAGGCACGAGGAGGTGAAGTAACAAACCCAGGTCCCATGGAGGCAGGACCAGGTCTCCTCACCTCCAGAAATCACTGCCTGGTATAAAGCAAAGTTATTCTGCCTGGTATAAAGCAACACTAGCAACTTTCTGAAATATGCCTGTAAGATGTTCAGGGCAGGCACCTCCATCCTTCAGTGTCTACATAGGGCACTTTTGTCCCGAATAATGGATTGGTACAGATCAGTGGCAACAGCAGAGATGCAGGGACAGGGCAAGCAGGATGCCCTAGTCATGGAAGGGGCTTTGAAGAGCCTGGGGAGAACGATGAAGGGTGCAGAGATGCCTGGAAGCAGCAGGATGGAGGCAGGAGGCACTTACCCTGTGCAACCCATTCCTCCTGTAGGCAGGGAGGGAGGCCGACTTAGAAATGAGGGGATCTGCAAAGAAGCCACCAAGGTGCATAAGGGAAAGTGCAAGGGCAAGTCCACACCCTGGGAGAGAATCTACTACCCCTCTGCTCATACATCCCTGCCCAGCTCCACATTCATCCAGTTCTGTCTCCTTCCAGCTCCAACTCATTTCCAGCCTGGCTTCCTCCTGTGCTGATGTTCCTCACTCCCCAGAATCCCTTTCCCATGACAGCCCTCACACAACACTGAGTCGTCCTCTCCTGGCACTGCCACCAGCTCTGCCCTGGTTCAGTTCTACCCTGGCCCAGCCCGTCAGCGGCTCCTTTTTCTCTCCCCTTCTTCCACCCCAGCCTGTGCATCTCCTCCAGCTCAGCCTCTGGTCCCTGCAGCCACAGAGGACCGTGGCTCACACACTCACCGCTGTCAGCCAGGTAGTGCGTCCGGGGAGCTGCAAGGAGAGCAGGGCTGGGTGTCAGGGAGGACCGAGTGCCCACGCCATGCAGAGCTGCCCACCCCATGGGCCAGCCCTAGGGCTCCCTAGCGGGGCTGAGGGGCTCCCCGAGCATTCCCAAACAGCCCCAGCTCCCAAGGACAGATGTGCCATGAGGAAGAAGAGCATGGAGCAAACAGAGGCATCTGTGCTGCCATGCTTCCCAAAGCCCCCAGCCCCCCCCGCAGCCCTGAGGGGAGATGGGCTGTGTGCTGTGCAGTGAGAGCAGCGCAAGCAAGGAAGGCAACCCTGGGGCCAGCCAGCAGGTTTGGGGTGCTGGGAGGTCCCAGATGTGCTGTTCATGAGGAGGTACACATACAGCGAGCCCAAAAGAGATCAGAGTGAACCTCACGTGGATGTGCTGTGAGATTCCCAAGGGACCCTTCAACCACCCCATGAGGAACTTCGCCAGGTTGTCCACACAGACTGCAAACACCTACCAGGCAATGCCACATCCCAGCCGGGGCACAGGGAATGGAGAGAGCTCTCCAGAGAGGAAAAGAACCTCCCAAGTCCAACTCTGGTGCCCAGCACCCCTTCCCAGTTCCCTGTTCTTCCCTCTCCACCCCAGCAAACTTCCCACAGGGGCTGGACAGACGGACAGGGTCCTCCTTACAGCCGTTGAGGGAGCCCTCGTAGCCAGCCATGTGCAGGGCTTCTCTGCTGCTGGCCGAGCTGCGAGGGGGGGTCCAGGGGTCTGCGTAGGAGTTGGACCGAGCCTTCATCTCCTCCCTCAGGATCAGCCTGCCGATGCCACTCTGGATCTGGGGGGGTGAAGTGGGGGGAAGAGCTGCTTCATACCCCTCCTTTCCTTGCCTGGCTCTTCCCGCCCCCTGGCACCTCATGGCAGAACATGGCACTTTCTGGCACAGGCCAGGAATGTCCCTGGGGATGAGGTGTTGGGCAGGGTGCCTTGGCAAGGGGGGTGTGCTCTCTCTCCTGTTGGGGGTGGCCAAGAGGGACGGTGGTGGCCCCTTCTTGGGTGGTGCAGCTGGGCTGTGCCTCCCCCCCAGAGCCAGCTGCCATGGGGCAGCTTTCTGCCCCTTCTCCCCTGCCAGGCTGTGGGCAGGGAGATCACTCACCTTGTGCATGCCCCGGTCGTACCCGTCCTCCTCGCCTCCTGAAGAGAACCTCCGGGCCCTGGGGGCTGCAAAAAGATACGTGGCAGAGTCAAATGGGGAAAAAGGTGCTGGCAGGCAGACAAGACACAGTCCCCTAGCTGCATGGTGACAGCTGAGTCCCAAGGGCTGCTAGGATTTTGTGGCCACTTTGGCAGGTATCTTGGTCCAAACCCACCTTTGGGTCCAGACCCATCCTGGGGGGTTTCCCTCCCAGGGAATGACTAGCTTTGGGGGTCGGAATGGATTTCCCTTTCTCCCAGCTGAATGCAGGGCTGTTACCTTTGGGGGAGCCCTGGAAGGACCAGTACTCTGACTCAGAGTGGTAGTACGGGTCCGGGGAGTAGGCAGGGCTGTACTTGGATGACTGTGCGATGTCTTCGCTGGTTTTACTTTTCGTGGCTGCAGGGAGGTTGTCTGCAAAAGGAGCCAGCAGAGCTGTAATAAGTACCCTGAGTCCCACCAGTAGGACTTGCAAAGATCCACCCCAGGACGAAAGCAAATCCTCTTCCCTCCCCTTTCCCCAGTGTCCACCACAATTTAGGTTCAGGACAGCACAGAGCAGAGGTGGGAAGAACCCATGTTCAAACTGCTGACACCTCCTGGAGAAAAGGGTGCAGAGGCAGAAGGCGGCGATAGTGACAGTCAGAGGGGCTGTTGCTGCTGTGGCTGGGAAGGAACCTGAGCAGCTCATAGCCCACAGCACCACGACTGGCTCAGGCTCCTGCACAGTGCCAGCCCCAGTGCCCCCAGCCTTCCCAAGTCCCCATGCCCCAGGCTGTCCTGTCACCTAGAGAAATAGCTGCACAGGTGGGAGGGTAGGAGGAAGCCTCAGACCCAGTGGGGAAAGGGCTCTGGGTGGGTCATTGCCAGCGGAAGGTGGCAGTGGGTTGGGAAGCAGGGGCAGGGGAGGCAGAGGGGTGACCTGTGACCTCAGCAGCTCCAGGACTTGCAGAGCCACAAACAGAGCTCTGCTCAGGGGACAGAGCCTTGGCAGCACACATGAGAAGGACTCTGCCAAGAGCAGCTACTTACAGCAGCAGGTGCAGCCAGCAGCAAGGTGTGGGAGTTGGGCAGGTAGGAAGGGAGAACCCAGGGAGAGAGAAGAGTCAACAGTTACTGCTCTGAGGAGCTGCTGTCCCTCTACAGGCAGAAGCAAGCAGGGACAGCACAAGCCACCCCTGCTGAGAGATGCCAAACACCCCTGTGCTCCCCCCCAGGACCCCTCAACACCTCCCAGGCCCGTTTCACCCTGGAGCAGCCATCCAGGATTGACTATGATTTTTCTCCAGGACTCCATATGAAACTGCAAATTACATTCTTCACCCATTTCCACAGGGTGCTCAAGGCTCCTGGCATCAACAAGTGACAGCCACC